GGAAGGCCTCCCCAGTTCACCCTAGCCACAAAAATGAAGGCAAGAGCTGAATGATTTAGTCCACACGTACCCTTAATCCATGCACATATTTTTCAAATTGATGTTTACATTTTACCATACGATTAACTAAACAAACATTATTCTCACTTCAATTTCAATATACATATATTATTGAAATTCGTCTTAAAGCAAGTGGGTACTCTGTGTTGATCACGATAATTGCCGGGCGGCTTCAACATATTATAATTAATATTCATGCTTTGCATGACTAAAATTAACCATCAACACGTTTCTTGGATACCTCATTAGTAAACATAATGCAATAATTTACGGATTGTTTAATAGAAATGGTCATTTTCGGCTGCTGTATGAGGAGATATTTCTGCAGTTTGATTTAGAAGTTGTTTCTTGGATTATACGGGTTCTGCAGTGCTCTCTTTATGCTAGACAAAGATGTTGTATTTAAAATCCCTTACCAGTTTCAATGTCTGCCATAACAGTGGTCACAAATACATAAATTAACCATCAAGGTTTTCTTTCTTTGGTTGTCTCTGTCTTTTGTTAAAAATAATAATAATAAAATTAAACGTCCAATCCCCTCCACAAACTCACTCATGAGCAATATTTAATATATCATTTTGTTTTCATTCGTTTTAACTTAATTAATATTATCTCCAGCTTTAATCATTATATATGCCAAAAACTGTACTGGATCATGTCAGACTCAATAACGTAATAAACACTTTATGATACAGTAATTGAGACCAATTCTGATTGGCCTATACTTAAAAACATTTTGTAGAAAGACCATCTAGCGAGATGACCAACTTTGTAAGAAAATTTATTCTATGGGCCGGTCCATTCTACAAATTAATCCATACAACGAGTCAGCCTTCTAGTTAGATCATTCTACGATTTAGGCTATCCTACGAATTAGGTCAACTTATACTTTGGGCCACTCCACAAGTTGGGTCTTTGTACAAGTTAAGCTAAATCAACCTTCAGCTCATTAGCATGTATTCAGACCAAAATAGGACTCAAAGTCTCATATACTTCCTAATTCATCCAAGATTTTTAATCTTAGATGAATTAGTGCTTCTAGTCCTACTTGGGCAAGTAATATGAGTTTCCTCTTCATTCGAACTTCTATTGTGAGAACGCTTAACTCTACAAGGACTTAAGCTTCCTTGACTCACTATATAAATAGATGTCAGCCCTCTCATTACTCATTCGATCAATAGCCCCTCTCACTAGTTTACTAAGTTCTTGCTCCCAGGAACCATCATCTTTCCCCACCGTAGAGCCTAGTTCCGACTTGCTCTATTTTCTGTAGAGTTGTGCCCCGACCATTCTAAGTTGATAAGTCGCGCCCTAGTTAAACACTCCCAGTAGACCCTTTCTTGCTCTCCAACCTTACTAATTTTCCTTCAACCGCGTTGACTCGAACATCGAAGTGCCTACGGCCAAATCACACCGGTGACCCCCAAGCCTTCACGTCCACTCTTCTTTGTCCTTGTAGGTCTACAAGATTGTCAGTTGCCTCCTCCTCATAAGATCATTCTTGTTTGACTCAACCATAGATTTTACCATCTAAATCACCATACTTTTTATTTTTTGTGTGTATAGATTAATATGGTGGACAAGATATATTGGGTTTGACTCAAATCGTACACACCGGTGATTGATTGTTATTATAAATTCATTTCAAAATCATAATCAAATAAATAAAAATTTAAATGATAACTAAGCACTGAATGGCATTTTCATTTTATTTATCTGGAAAATAAATGGAATGCAATTTAACATCATCAAATAAAATTACATTCTTGTACGGAGATAGGACTAAGCTTTAATTTTAAACTCTTATGAATCCAGGCCCGTTTTAGAAGCCCAAACCAGAGTCCAATGGCTGCATAAAAGCTATTTTATAAACACAAGGAGATATTTGCTTTGTTTGATAGTAAAGATATAAGAGTGCTCTTAACATCAATTTAAAAAAATAATTCTAAAATATATGGAAATATATTACAGCTAGCTTATGAGAATGCATCTAAGCCTTTGATATCGTTCTTATCCACACATGAAGACAATTGGGAAGAAGAGTTTGCATGTACATAAGTGAGTGTATAAAGAGAGTCTGGGCTGATACAGCAATAAGTTCAAACCCACTATGGCCCATGGACAAATATTGGTGGGAGCTCCGAACTCTCAAGAAAGTGTAGTAATGTTTCGATCTGCTCATGGGCCATGGATAGACCCATGGGTTTTTAACATTTTTAAAAGTAAAATATGAGAGGGTAAGAATTAGGTGAAATTTAAGTATTTAATTATATTTTAATGAGTGACATCACAAGTGATGAACAAAACAACAAATGAATTGGTTACGGAAAATTCATGCTTTCCCATTGCGTCCTTTATATATATTTTTTATATTCTAATTCTGCATTTCCTAGACAATTAATATTTGATACATCATACAATACAATATAATAATATGGTGGATGTGGATCTACTCTTTCCAGGTGTGCAATTAAAGCTAATACGACAACCTTCCCAGTCCGTTTTAATCAATAATTAATTACTTACAACTTGTATTAAGATTTAGGAAGCACGACGGATCTTTGCAAACACAAACATCCGAAAAATTATCAATTATTTATTGGATTATCACGAGCTAACAGCTGTTAATTATGAAGCTCTACTACAGAAGAGCGAGCATGAAAATTATTGTCTATTAATCCAACGACATCCATAGCTATCCCTGTAACCAAACACGGTCAGTCTTTTTAAAAAAGAGTGATCAGTACGACCTAATTATTGTACTAATTATCTTAATTAAGTCCTGGGAATGAATAATGATGTTACTTAAAGTAGGTTATTAATTTATTAATCCAACATATAGACAGCAAAATCCAAAATTACTCAATTAAGCAACTTCAACTTATTTTAATCACCCGACATATTTTTATAATTTTGGTTATTCTAAATTTGGACCGTCTTCTAAGGTCAATTTAATTTAATTTCAAATCACTCAATTTGATCCCTTTTGAATTCTATACATTTGGAGGGAGAAAAACTCACAGAAATGGATCTTGTTTCAGGAACCAAGGCATTAATTTATTTATTTATATAGTTTCTTCTTGTATACAGAGCCCTTTGACAAAGAACATTTGATCTCTCCCAAAGCAAGAGATTATATAATTTATAAATAAAACCCCAAGTGGGTATGTAAGCCCATCTTTCTTAGATTCACTTCATGCAATCCAATGTTCCAACTTCTAAAATTTAATTTAATTTAATAAATGGGTTTTGGATGCAGAGCCCCTGGCACAACACTTTGTTTACTAGAACCAAGTTAATCTTTTTTTTTTTTTTTTTGAATGAACAAGTTGTGATTCTTTCTTTGACTAACTTATTGATCCTAAAATCATGCTTTTATATTTCAATAATCAAATTATTGTCTGCTTCATAAGAGACACCACCCATTCCATTCATCATTTTTGTGTATTGCTCCTTTGAATGAATGAGACTCATAATAACCTCTCCTTTTTTCAGTATCAGGTTAATTAGCCACTACCATAAAGATATTGGGTTTAGATTCAAGTACAATAAAATAATGGTTGGATCTATGGTCTAAAATTGTGGTGTCTTATGTGGATGTTAGATTTATATAAGCATGAGCATGAGAGCTTGTTTCCACTTATGTTTGGTTTTGTTGGGACCCTACCAAGACCATTAGATTAAGGGTTAGTTTAAGAGTAAAGAACTTTTGCCCTTCCAAGGTTTCCTTTAATGCACTTTCCCACCCAAAGTTTATTAATACCCAAAATACACTTTACTTTCTTAGCCGACGTATGACGAGTTACCAGGAAACATTAAGGGTGTTCAGTTCCGAGTACCCTGCATTTTTTGAAGGAACTGAAACCGACGGTTCCTTGAAATTTGGAACCAGAACCAGAACCGACGGTTCTGGTTCCTAGGTACCCAGAACCAGAACCTGTAACAACGGTTCCGGTTCCGGTTCCGGTTCTGGGTACCCTGTAAAATTTATGACCCCCGTAAAGTTTTTTAAATGACAAAAAACCCTAAAAAACTTACAAATACCCCCCCACCTGGCACTTGCTGACAAAAATAAAATTACAAATTATAAATTATAAATTCAAAATTACAAACTCCGTTACTTTGTAAAGGTAGATTCTCAAAAGTCAAACCAACTTACTTTAAATGTTATGAAATATAAATATAAATGTATTCACATTACTTTTTCTACAAAAGTTTTTATTAACCCCCCTAATCTTTAATTTTATTTCATATTAGTCTCAGTTCCTAGTTCCGGTTCCTAACTCTAGGAACCGAAACCGCACAGTAATGTTTCAAAAATTTGGAACCGAAACTTACCTATTGACGGTCAGTTCTAGGTAGGAATCGGAACCAAACCTTCGGGTACCCGTCAGTTCTGGTTCCAACCGATTCTTTTGAACATCCCTAGGAACCATGGTAAGAAGGGTTTATTGAGTGGAGGCCGATGGATCGAATGGTAGAAACTGATTGAATATTCATCATAGGAATCAGCCGAAAATTAACTAAGAACAAAAAACTTTCGCTTTGCAATGACCAACAATCAGCTAGAAATCAGCTATTAGAGTGAGAAAGGTTTTATAGAGAGGAGATGAGAGGTTCAAATGGTGGTAACAGAGAGAATTTTCACCATCGAACTTAGCTTTGGGTAGTAACAGAATACTAATTTTGGGTGAAAAAATAGTATTTTAAAACTTTTTGGGTGGATAAGGGTCATTAAGGCAAACCTTGGGTGGGAAAAAGTCATTACTCTTAATTTAAATAGTAGATTAAATTAATATGGTTAATAAGACATCAAACTTTTTCAAGAGCCTTTAGATATAAAGATAAAGATTAGAAGGTGGGACCTGATTGAAACGATTGTCAATCAAATAAATAAAAAATAATGTTGACACTTTCACAAAACAGTTAAACCAACCATCGTTATACCTAAAAATTGATACATATAATGAAGCAGTCCAGCTCCAGCACTAACACCACCCCACTTTCCAAGAAATTTCACTACAAAAGCGATAGATGGCAAATCACAAGAATTTGTGCTGTGATTTGGTCAAATATTCCAAAAGGATCTAACGTCAACTCCTTTCAATTAAATATAAAAATGACCCAAATTCATATTCAAACCAATTTAGGGGGTGGGGTGGGGTGGGGTGGGGTTTGACATGGGTCTGCTCTCTGGTCTGGGTCCAACTCCACGTGCCGTGTCACTAATTGAATCGAAACCAAAATAAAACTTGTACGTAATGCTGTGCATGGTTCTCATCATCATCAACCAGCCTCACGCGTTTTTCCATAAAAACAACCCACAAAACTCAAATCTTCGAGGGAGAAGAGTTTCTAAATATTTGCATATTATTAAGATTGTTCATCTGCTTTTACAATATCCACAAACTATTCATTATCAACATCTGAATTTGCATACTTTGTTCTGTATATAATACTCGAGCTTTCTTTTCTCTACACTCCTGTGTTTGTATCAAAAACTTCCAATCAACCTTTTATGGTTTCCACAATGTTTTGCCTATTTATCAGGATGATATATGTTTATGACGATGTTTATTTTATATGCTTTCATCTAAACTATGCATATATAGAATAATGAAAAAATGTTCAATCACATTTAAATAGAACGGAGCTAAACTTGTATACCATTTGACTGTGAATGTACTGTACGTAACATGTCTATGCTGGGAACTTGGTGGGGGAATAAGGGGGAGGCAAAATGGTGTCGTTTGCTTATTTCATTGAGATCTTCACCAGAATAGATTCAAAGATTGCTGCAATTCGGTAACTTACACTTTGTTTGCGTGCAGCAGGACTCTTCGAAGCTCATTGGCAATTCCTTGCAACAGAATTGGTTTTCGAATAACACCATTCATGCCGGCCTGCATGCATCTGTCCCACAAATCGTCATCAGCACTTGCTGTCAAGGCCACAATCAATGGCCAACTACGACTCCGGAATTTCCGAATTCTCAATGCAACTTCAAACCCATCCAACTCAGGCATCTGAAGATCTAAAATGACAATTTGGAATGAACATGCTGCAGGGCCAATGGCACTAAGGCATTCAAATCCAGATGAAACAGCAGACACATTGCAACCTAACTTCTCAAGCAGCTTCCGGGTCACCGCTCTATTCACATCATCACCATCTGCTAATAAAACCTGCAAGCTTCTTAAAAGAGAATTGGACTGTGGGTGCTCTGACGATTCACCGGATTCAGAGATGGCTATTGCAATGGATGGTCGTAGTTGAAACCGAAGAACAAGCCCCATGCTTTGAGTAAAACCATGAGAATCTGGGACAACCCAGATGTTCCCTTGCATCAACTGCCAAAAATAAGGAAACGAAAATAATTATGAATTGTTCAAATAAATGAAAGAGCATGGTTGGAGAAATGGTTTTCACTACATCCCAAGTTAAACTTTGAACCGTTAACACTTAGAAACCCTAAAATAAATTTGAACAGCTTGGTCCTAGTAGTACACCTGCCTAACAGTAATATCCTCAAATATGTTTTGAACAGTGACACTTTCATGATTTCTACTCTCAATGGTCACTTGCACATTAGTATACTGCAAGATGGAACCATATTGTGATAAAATACTTTAGCTGGATTTAACAATTCAACTAAACAACAATAATGATATATATATGTAAGTAATGTGGGGTAGCTTTATTCATATATAAATAAGAAAAGCTAAGTTCGTCAAGCATATACTTAATGTCAGCAAGAAACATGATAATCTAAGACATTAATCAACAATTAAATATATAACATATTATCAGTAACAAAATAAGAGAAAGGAAGACTAAGGGACCACTTATATTTCTTGAGGAATCCACCAAAATGTTAGATGATTAACCAGTCTGGTCATGAATGGTTTTATCCCCATAATTACACATAGAGGTTTACTGTGGTTTTTCCGAAATAAACAGGAGCAATTACCAACAAAGCACAAAATTTATAAACTACCATTGTAAAAATGATTCAAGTATAATCCAGCTTCTAAGTTAACTAGTTTTTTCTTTCCATATTTCACAAGGGATGTCTTACAACCTATTGCCCAGAAAAAAGACATATGAAAAGACAAACAACTTAGTGACCATTCTCACCTGCACTATCTTTTTGCAAATGCTGAAGCTCAAGCGGTCCTCAATTCCTTCACTGGCACTTCTTCTACCACCAAGCTGTCCCCCTGAAGTAGAGCACTCTGATTGAGAACCAACATTGTGCATCCCAATTTCAAATCTGATATATACATCCCCATCAGGTGAGGTTTGCCTCCAGGTTGCCCATCTTTGATCATTCCTCTCCTGACTTCCAGTCTCTGAGACAACTCGAAGCATTACAGTCCCTCCCCCATTGTTGCCATTCAATAGGTTTCCAACCATATGCAAAATGACCTGAAAAACTCTCCTTTCATCACCCATAACATGATCAGGCAAGGACCTCTCAACCTCAATTGAAAAACCAAAGCCCCTATAAATACACAAGCACCTGGCAAGGCAAGCCACTTCTTTTATCATGGCATGTAACCGGAAAGATCTAATCTCAAATGGGAACCTCCCGTTGTCCTTTGTTGAAATGTCCATAATGTCATTTACCAAAGTCGAAAGGACATTGCTGGTCTTCATCATTGTATTGACAATCATCTTTTGGTCATTATTCATATCTCCATCCTGCATAACCGAAAGCAAACCCATAATTGAATGCAGTGGCCTCCTCATCCCATCACTCATTACCTTCTGAAATGCATTTCTAGCCTGGCTTGCCATCATAGCATCTTGTTGTGCCTGTTGTAAAGCTCGATTTTGCTCCTCCAATTGCTCCCTCATGAGCTGGGACTCTTCAAGTACTGCAGCATGAGAGAGTGCTACAGCCACCTGATCAGCGACCACCTTAACTATCTCTAGTTCCTGATTGCTCCAAGTTCTAGGTTCTCCACTTGGAAGAACCAAAACTAATATTGAATAACATGCTTGGACTAGCTCTGGAGTTCCCCCTTTAAAATTTGAAACCCGAAGCATTGGCATCCTAATTGCAGCCACAGGACCTGGCTCACCAGACTCTACACTACTTGCGGTGGCAAGTGCTGAGCTAGGTTCGAGGATATGCACCCCATCACTACCCTTAATCCTCAAAACATCTGGATGAGTAATTGGTATAGAACAATTACATAAATCCGAGTAATTCCTACCATTCAACTCATGGGTCAAATTCATCTCTGTTTTAATCTCATTAGGCATCCAAACTGCACAATTCTGCAGACCCAGAGTTTTCGATAGCTCGACTAAAGTTGTGTACAGGATTGTATGCCTATCAAGCGATTTGCGTATCTCTTGAGTCAGCATTCGAACATGCAATCCAGTCTCTTTCTGTTTCATTATAAGCCCAACTTCTCGGCCGAGATCCCACGCCTTTTTCTTCAACATGAATTCTCTAACTTTCACTTTGAGAAGCAATGGAATGAGAGTAATGAGAGTTATAGCTGTGGCACATGAGACCAAGGCAGTGAGGATCTTGAACACAGTGAGGGCCAACATTAACTGAAACGGGTGAGGTCCATAGGTCCAGCCATTGAGCAAGTGAGTCATTCCACATAGAACAATGAAGGCAATGAACTGAGAGAGGACCCATTTGAATGGTACGTTTGAACAGCTAACAAAGTAAAGCAGCTCAACCGGGATTGAAAAGTAGGCCACAGCAATCAAGAAATCACTCACTTTTTGGCACTCAAGGATGCTTTCAATGCTCCATAAACTCCCTTCATCATCACAATTACATCTAGGAAAGCCGTTGTCGGCCACGGACACCGATATTAGGAGTGAAATAATCAACAGCCCAGTAGCTAATGCCTTTAACATTGCATCCAAAACTGGACTGCCAGCTTCTTCAATCCATTTTCAACACTAATCTTCAATCTTTCACAACCTCGTAAACTAACAAACAAAGCTGTCTTCAACTAAAACATTATTAACATCCCAATCTTCAATTCTCATTTCCTGCTTAGAACAGAAAAGCAAGAAATAACTTCAATTAAATTAGAACCCCCATTAAACCTTTTAGAGAATTAATTAGCGTTAAATTGAGATCTAACACAACCACCGCCCAAAAACTAATAAATTCCCTCTACAGGTCATACTTCAATTCACTTTTCCTATCTAATTCTCATTTTAAATTTTATATCTCTATCATATATTTCCAAATAGCACAGTAATGAAGAACACGATTTTTTTTTTTCTCACCCAAAAAATAAACAAATAAATAAAGCACGCCGAAGATCCCTCCTAAAAATAGAAAGGGAAAAAGAAAGCTTTCTTTTTAATTTGAGAAACAAAGAAAAAAAAAACAACACAGCAAACCAAGCCAGCATTTTACTCGAACAAAACCAAATGCAAGTAAAAGATATTAGACATACCCGAAAAATCTACACCAGTGTGGTAAAGAATCCAGATTTCAAATCAAACGCACCTTCAGATCTTATCTTTTCTTCGACATGCAGAGACGTATTGAAATAATTCAAGACCCATCTTCATATTTCACACTAAAGTTCATCACTTAAAGCCATTGATAAAGCAGTAACTTGTACACAACACAAGTACAGCCCCCAGTTCAGCAGCTGTTTATTTAAAAACCAAAAGGAAAAAGAAAAAAACCCACAAATTCCAAGAAAAATGAAAAAAATTAAAGCCAAAACCACCGAAAAAAAAACCGGCCAACCCGCTCCGCTTAAACCGCTGATACAAAATAACAGGCGGGCGGTGATACACAACTAGCACCCAACAAAACAAAACACAACAACACCCGCGTTGATGTGAAGTATCTGTTTCCTGTTTTATGTATTTGAAGAAGAAGAAGAAAGCTAAAGAAAACAAAAAACGAAACGGTTGAAGGAAGAGAAATGAAATGAATTTAAAGTTATAAAAAAAAAAAAAAGAAAAAAAAAAAGAGGGAGATAGAGAGAGAGAGAGAGAGAATTGAAAAAATGTTTATTGTTATCGTTCATGTTTGATATGTAGGAAGCGCCGTTGTTTTTGTAAGAAGGGTGAATGAAAAGGAAAGGGTGGAGGGTGGGACCCAGATTCTTACATGAAGAGAACTTGGACGCTCTTTTGAACCAAAACGTCCTCGTCAGACCCAAAAAGATTTGTTTTATTTTCTTTTCTCAAAAAACGTTTCTTTCCTTTCGTTTTTCTTGTTTTATTGCTTCTATTCATTTCTCCTTTCTTAATCTCCCCCCCTCTCCCCACTTTCCAATTACATTCACCTGCTCTTTGTTTTTTCAAATTTTCTTTCATAACTCTTAAAACCAAATTACATTCCACGTGGCAATTTCTAGATCTCTATTAGCATATAATATGATGTGTCATCATATGTAACTCAACTTGGTTTAAAGGATTTATTAATTTTTATAGGCCCCAAGGTTTGTCGAAACGACAAGTTGGTACTCAAAAGGTTTTGAAATGATAAATAAGTACTTTCCGTCATGTTCTGTTAGTAATTTTCGTTTGATAATAGTGAAAAGACTAAAATACCCTTAAAATTTTAGTTTTTTATAAATTTAAAAATATCTAAAAAACCCCCTAGGTTTGCTAATTTAACTAAATACCTCAATATATAAGAATTTTATAAAATAACAAAAACACCCCCGCCACAAGCAGTGCCAGATTCCGACCACCACCGCCGGAATCTAGCCGAAAAATTGCGTTACGACACAGACCCGTCGGATCTGTGTCGTAATGCATAGATCAGGCATTTTCCGGCAAGATCTGTGGCTGATCTGGTCGGATGATGATACAGACCCGTCAGATCTGTGTCGTAACGCGTCGATCTGGCATTTTCCGACCAGATCTACTGCCAGATCTGGCCGTCAAGGCCGAAAAAGGCCAGACGCACGGATCTGGCCGAAAAAGGCCAGATCGACGCGTTGCGACACAGATCCGACGGGTCTGTGTCGTAATGCAATTTTTCGGTCAGATTCCGACGGTGGTGGCCAGAATTTGGCACTGCGGGTGGTGGGGGTGTTTTTGTTATTTTATAAAAATTTTATATATTAGGGTATTTAGTCAAATTAGCAAACCTAGGGAGTTTTTTAGAAATTTTTAAATTTATAAAAAGCTAAAATATCAAACTTTCAAGGGCATTTTAGTCTTTTCACTATTATCAAACGAAAATCATTAACAGAATATGACAGAAGGTACCTATTTATTGTTTCAAAACTTTTTGAGTACCAACATCGTTTTGGCAAACCTTGGGTATGTGTAATTCGTTCTGCCATTAGTTATATTAATATTTAGATTTATTACAATGAATTTCAAAGGGTTAAATTGACACATTACGAAAGTATAATTATTTTTAATGTTAAAAACCTTTTTTTACCGACCAAAGTTACCCAACTCTGGTATCAATGAATGCACGCGCGTTTAGTTGGTGGTGGTGGAATTTGCACTCTAATATATTTATCATTTTCATAAATTAAGGGGTTACTATTTATTAACAAAATAGATTTTAATTTCTTTATGTTTTCTCTGCAAAATTACATAGAGGATAGAATACAAAAAATCAACCCAATAAATGAGAGTAAATAAAATAATAATAATGGTACACTATTTTGTATGAAAATTTGATTTTATAGAGTATCCACTAAATAATATGAATATAGAAAATTTCTTCAAGACTTATACATTATAGACCAAATAATCAAACAATTTATTTGCATATATATGAAATAATGATATTAATTGATAAACCACATGGATGATTTGATGTTAAAAGAGTAAAATGAAGTTTTATGAGTTCTTGAGTTTGAATCTCTACAAATGTTAATAAGAGTGGTTACTGAAGGGTTTACCTGGTCATCAACTTCAAGACCCTCGAGAGATTAATTGAAATATGGGTAAGTTAGCTCGGACATACTCATTAATATATATATATATATATATATATTTGGCTTTTTTTTTTAACATGAAAGTTGTAGATTTTCAATAAAATAAAAAAACAATTATTCTTGATTCCCAAGTCTCAAGGTAGGTAAAGAAATAATGATGCCAAGTGTTAGAATTTTTAATTATTGACTAATGATACTGTATTTTAATCAGATTAGTAGGACGTTGGAGTAAGATGAATAAGTTAAGTAACGCATTGATTTTATCAATAAGGTAAAAACATAGGTTAATGTTTAATTAAACCTAAAGAAATAAGATGAAGAAATTATGGAAAATAAGAAACCTTTTATTTAAGGATTTGTCATTTTCACTTTACTTTTCTAAAATTTAAAGATAAGGTTGGAATTAATATTATGACAAAAACAAAAACAAACACAAAGACAAAGATGACATACTTCCTCTCGTGTCATTTAATTCTTAATTCTTATTAAATTCTACATAATTTACAACTTGAACAATTCAATATTTCAGTATGATGGATAGTGGGAATTATTTGATAATTCTATTATCAAAATAACAAACTTATTTGACAAATATTTTAAAGTCAAACATTTATTCTACAATATCTACGGACACAGTGCATCTACTTACCGATTAATAGGCAGTCAAGATTACTCACTGTTACCATATACGAATAATCAATGTGATGCATGTGATCACCGACCAGGGTGTTCACACGCACTTCGTTTGGGTTAGGGTGAGAGTTGGAAAGTGCGCGTTGGAGTATTTGCACTAAAAATGGTGAGTCGCAGGATAGGTCATGGTTTTGCAATACCCACCATTGCTATATATGGAAAATACTGGTTTTAACCTTTTTTAGGCATTGATCTGGAAAGATTTCTTTATGCAGGAAAACGTACGGTCAGCTAGCCAGATGCATTCCTATGTACCAATTTTCTATCCAATAATGTATCAAGATAATTTATAATTGTGGTTAAATTCTTAGTAAGTCGCATGCCCATTTTGTAGAGGTCATCTTTAATTTGTTGAAGAGTAAACCACATGTTTCCACCCAAGGTTAAGCGAAATGGCAAGTCTTCACCATTGATTTCATAAATTTCATATTTTCACCTTTAAAGTAACATTATTAGCAAATTTTAGGTTTTGACACAGATGCAGATGACGCTATTACCAAACTACCATCTCATCTTCTTCTTCACCTCCTCCTGCTTGTCCTATCTTCTTCTTCCTCATCTCCTCATTTTCCTTCTGTCTTCATCTTTTTCATCTCCTTTGCCTCCTCTCATCTTCATCTTCTTCGTCTCTCAATCAACTCCCAATTGCAACTGTTGCGTGAAACTAAGGGTGGGTGGTGGATGACGATCGGCGAGCAATCACCATCTGGTGAGATGGTGGTTTTGTTAAGGAGATATCGGTGGTGCTGATGGTGGGGGTAGGTGGAGTTTTTGGCATCGGGAACAACCAAAATCCGGCTGGAAACGAGAGGTAGCACGAAAACAAACTTAGTGGCACCTAATGATTGGATGGGGCAGTGAGGCGGGGAATAGAGGGGTTTTGGTGTGGAAGGGTGGGAGAGGTGATGGTGGTGGCATCGGGGTCCAACGGTGTCTAAATCAAGCCGGTTGGCCCAAAGGCAGCAATTGTGAGGGTGATTTTGATTTTATTTTTGGAGTTGTTTGGGAGTGATTTTGCAGGATTTTTTGTTTGGAGTTTTTTTGGCTATTGGTTGAAGTTTATTTGTTGAATTTTGGCAAATCAAATAGTTGAAAAACTGGCCATTTTCTACCCAACCACTGGCACCCACCTTTTTTTGTTTTTTTTTTTTGTAAAAAAAGCCACAACCAAATCCAACCACAGCAAAGGTAGGGTGAGATGCAGTTTGGATCTGGTGGGGTTGTTGGAATTTCGGTTTGATGTGGTTTGATATGAAGTTTGGATCTCGTGGAGGTCCAAGTGCCAGAATCGCACCTGGCTGGATGCAATTCTGGCCAAAATGCACCCGACCAGATGTGATTTTGGTCAAATGAAATCTGGGGTTTGGAATGACCAATTTACCTTTTGACTTTTACAGTAAACAATTTTCTGTTAATTTAAGGGTGAGAATCTAAAATTTATGAAACTAGGGGTGGAAACATGACATTTTGCTTAACCTTACGTGGAAACATGTTGTTTACTCTTTTTTAAATTTGGGTTATTTTTCACTTAAAAGTTAATTAGGAAACATTAAGGTCTTATTGGTATTACAAAATGTACTATGAGTGTTGGTATATGATTTTTGTTTTTATTTTGACAAAAGTGATAATTTTTTTAATCAATGAACTATTATTTAATCAGCCTGGGTTTCCCTTGGTTGCAGCTTGAGAGAAAATCTCGAGAAAAATCAAGCTCTGTTTGGTACAATATTTCTATGCCATCCTATTTCACTATCCTATCCAAATATATATTTATTTCAATATTCAAAATACAATCTTATTCTATTCAACTCAAAACATTAACAATTACCTTTCTCAATAAAAGTTTTAAAATTAACAAAAACACCACCACAAACCCAAGCCACTATCATCTGCCAGCAGCCATTGTCGCCGTAACGACTCATGACCAGCTGGATCTTGTCGGTCGTGCACCAATCTGTTCGTTCCAGCCAGATTTATGGCTAAAGATCTGACTGTTGATGGCCAAATCTGGTCGTCGTTTGACTATTGTTTATAGCCGAATATCTTCGCAGTTGTTTGGCCGTCAATGGCAAAATCTGTGGCTGTAGATCTGGCCAAAAAGGCTAGATTGATGCATGACTGGCCAGATCCAGTCGATCGTATGCCATTCTGACATATTTCGGTTGCCTTCTGGCAGTAGTGGCCAACTGCCGACAATATATGGGTGGATGGGGGTGTTTTTGTCAATTTATAAACTTTTGTTGTGGGGGGGTGTTTAGTTAAATTAACAAACTCATGGGGTTAAAATAATCTAAATATTTTCAGAAAATGCTATTTAGAAATGTACCAAAACTTCTTAGA